TCTTTTTCAGTTCTTGCCTTTCAAGATTATCTGTTATGACAGTTATGCTAGTAACGACATGCCTTACTTCCCTGGTCATAATCCTCTGTTGGCACAAGCCTCCCATTGTTGCCCTGAGCTTTCTGCTTTTCTTTGGTTCAATTGAGTTGCTTTACTTCTCAGCTTCACTCACTAAGTTCCGAGAAGGTGCCTGGCTTCCCATCCTCCTCGCCCTCTTCCTCATGACTATAATGTTTGTTTGGCACTATGCCACCATCAAGAAGTATGAATTTGACCTCCACAACAAAGTATCACTAGAGTGGCTTTTGGCTTTGGGTCCAAGCTTGGGAATAGCTCGAGTCCCTGGCATTGGCTTAGTTTTTACAGATCTCACCTCTGGCATCCCTGCTAACTTCTCCCGCTTTGTCACCAACCTCCCTGCATTCCATCGCATCCTTGTCTTCGTGTGTGTGAAATCTGTGCCAGTTCCTTATGTCCCTCCTGCTGAGAGGTACCTTGTCGGCCGTGTTGGTCCTGCAGCTCACAGGTCCTACAGGTGCATTGTCCGGTATGGATACCGTGATGTACACCAGGATGTTAATTCTTTTGAAGCTGAACTGGTGGACAGGCTGGCTGATTTTATCCGGTATAACTGGTATCGAACTCATGGGACTAATTCATGCACCGAGGATGATGCTTCACAATCTAATGAATCTTCAAGTGAGTGTAGATTGGCTGTGATAGGCACTGTGTCATTCTCTGGCCATCCAGCTTATGAGATTGAGGAGAGTGTGCATCCAGAAAGTGTATCAATTGGATTCTCAACAGTAGAAAGTATGGGAGATGTCATTGAGATGGAACCTGTTGGTGTTGTCCAAAAGAGAGTGAGATTCGCCATCAGCAACGAATCTGAAACTGATGCAAAATCTGAGGTGGATTTGCAGATGCAGGAAGAGCTAGAAGATTTAATAGCAGCTCAGGAAGCTGGGACTGCATTCATTCTTGGGCACTCACATGTTAGAGCCAAACACGGATCTTCTCTCCTGAAAAGATTAGCAATCAACTTCGGATATAATTTCTTAAGGAGAAACTGCCGGGGGGCAGATGTAGCTCTCAAGGTACCACCAGTGTCTCTCCTAGAGGTCGGCATGGTTTATGTCGTGTAAGCTTTTAATGTAAGTAGTTAGCAGAAAAACTGAAAAGAAATGTATGATAAAGTAAGATAGTAGATAATGAAGGGTTATAATAGGAATGAATCGCCACGTATAATTTCGTAGTGTACAAAATATGAGTAATATCAATAAATCTAAATGCAACTCAAAGCATGAAATGTATGAGATTAGAGCAAAGTCATGTACGAAATCCTGTCATTGATGCAGAATTTGACAATTAGAATGTGTGGATGAGTTTGAAAGAATGTCATGTGGTTGTCATTCATTTCCCAGATTGGATCTACATCACGCAAAAAATTGAAAAACTAGAAAACTGAAAAATCATCCAGCCATCTAAGTTGGGAAAAAGAGATATTTATGTTAATGTTTTAACTAGTGTCCTCTCATAATTGAAAGCATAGCAAAGCGACACGTAGTGTGGTTTTATGAGTGGCAGTCAAGAAATTGTAACCAGTGGCTGCTGCAAACAAGAGAAAAAGAAGAAAACCCAGAGACCCCCCCGTCCATATAAAAAGCTAGTTCTGGTGTTTAAACACAGGAGAGTGTTTTATTAGCTAAAATGGAAGTGTGTTTGATGCACAAAAACTTCCCTGGTGTTCAGAACTTGTCGAACTTAAAATCAAACAGGACAAGTTATAGATTTATAGTCTCCGCCAAAGTAGACGAGAACAAGAACAAGAACAAACAGTCATTGTTTAGTAGTGTAACAGAGGCTCTGGATTTCTCCCAAGTTAGGTCTGTCAAGGATGCCGAGCTTCTTCAAGACGCCAGAGAAGCCACCATGTCTGGTGGCAGGATGAGCAGAGCGCAGGTAAAAATACAAAAACTGCCTTTTGTTACTCTTATCTTCTATTTGCAATCATCAGATAACTTTACAGTTAAGATTTCATTTCTTGTATTGTGCAGTATGGAGCTCTGAGGAGGAAGATTGGAGGAACATACAAGGATTTCTTCAAATCATATATTGATGGTAATACACATACATACATACATATATATATATACACACACACACACACCCACAAATCAAGCTTAAATCTTTTTCATAATCTGAATTATTATAAACTTGCCAAGTCTCTAACTTTCTCTTTTGGGTGTGGGTGAAAACAGTGGATGGACAATATGTTGAAGAAGGATGGGTGGATAAATCCTGCAAGGTATGTAAGAAAGATACAAGAGGGGAGCCGAGGCAAGTGGACAAGTTTGGAAGATATGTTCATGCAGCATGCTTGGAAAAGTCCACTTCTGGCAACTTCTTTACCAGACTTTTCTCAAGATGATAATATTAATTTTTTTTTTTTTTGGGTCTCATTTTTATTCATATTTATATATGAATTAATATACTTATTAACCCTAGAGGTTTGATAATTTATGCACTCATCTCAATTTTCCCCAACTTTCTGATTATTTACATAATAAAAAAGGAACAAATTCTAGCTCAACTACTCTTTTTTAATGCATTTTAAATTATAGATTATGTATTTTTTCATTCATAAAAAAATTGAAATAATTAATTAAAATTAATAATTTTTACATGATGTAGAGGCAAAATTTAAATATATTTATTTTAATCTAACGTTACATATGTCTATTCGGTTATTTAATCCAATGGTTATATTTGAACTCAATTTTTATAAATGATACAAAATAATATCATTAAATAAAAATAATATCAAACACGCACAATCTCATAAACATTAAATAAAAAAAAAGATACAAAATTTATATCATTTAATATAAATAGCTATGTGCAAAGATAAGAGTACATCAACTTATGAAATTATAAATCATTATATATACAAAATATTAGAGTTTTTTTCTAAAATATTCTCAAAAATATATCATGAATCAAACTATATTCATAAATATTAATCATAACACGAAGTGAAATAATTTGTAAGAATGAACACATAATATGTGCATAGTTCTATATAAATTTACATTATGTTATAAAGAATGTGATATACCAATAATTTAACTGAATGGTAGTCTTATGATTATTTAATATATTCGGCCGTGAAACAATTCTATTATACAATCTTCCAACTTATTGGGCTTTAGAGGGTCCAAAGGTATCAAAACGACAGCCCAAAATTGGCGTTTCATTATATTATACTTCAATGGGCCTAGTTTAATAATCCACTTGGCGGGAAAATTACTCACTTGGCGGGAAAATTCACCCGTTATATACAACCCTTCTATTGCGCCGGGATGACGCACCTGTTCGCTTACCCGCTTGCTCCTTCACTCGTCCGCAATTCAAAGAAAAAGATCAGTCGATTTGATCGGAGATGGGCGGGCCACCCTATGATTGCCTTGCCAACCCACTGGGAGCCGTCCGATTCACGTTCGAGAAGTCGGTATCGTCGGGCTCCGACCCGGCGTCCTTCGACGGTAAGGACTGGGGCGCCCTCGACCTCTTCCGCCATATCCTCTCTGATCCAGCCGCTCTCGCCCAGGTACAATACTTGCACCCTCTTCATGCCTTTATCCTTTAAAATAATGTGTTTTTGACATCTGTAATTGTATTGCTTTAAGTGGGAAATGGAAGTTTTTATTAGTTTCTTTAGGGTTAGACTAAGGCGTGTGATGGTTTATTGTTGATGGAGCTAAATTACTTCTTCCTTTCATTCTTGTGGTTATGATATGTACGTATTAGGTTCCGATTCTCAATCCTTCGACAATCAGATGGTTGCGGCCCAATATTCTTGTCCGTTTTCAGGGAATGATTCAAGACATGCTGGGAAATGAGTTCTATGTTGGTGCTTGCAAGGTATTTGTGTTTTTTGCAGTCTTATACTTCTCAAGGTGAACTTTCTTCTCATTGATGCAGTCCATTCATTTCTATGTTTTGTTTGTTTTTTTTTTGGGGTTTTAAAGGATGGATCGGTGTGGAGAACCAATAAATACACAGACTTTTGCCAATTTCCCATGGGTTCTTCCCCGGATATGCGAATTTGGGAACGCCGACTACTCTACTGCGTCCCGGTATGTTTTTATACCATTTCCAGTGCTTTTTCTCTTGTTATGTATAGTTTGGGAATATGCTAAGTTTGTTCTCTTGCTGGTGTGTTTAAGTTTGATATACTAAGATTTGTCCTATCCTCCATGATCTTGAAAGAACCAGCTGATGTTCTCAATCCGAATTTTGTTATTTAATTTTCTGTTTCCTGTAATGCTGAGCTCGGAGTTTTCTTGTGAAATGAGGACAATCTTCTGTTTTATCTATAGGTGCCAGGACGAAATTCATGGACTGAATCTTTTTCTGAAGTGGCAATGAAACGGTTTATGGATTGGGCATCTCAACAGAGGGAGAAGCGCAGAAGAATGGAAGATGAAGATCCCAATCACATGGATTTACAAGTACTTGTTTTCCTCTGTTTTGTTTCTTTTACTTGTCTACTAGCTGCATATGATAGTCATGTAGACATGTAGGAAAGGCAGTCTAGATTCTGATTAAACATTAGAGTGGAGATTTGATTGTCTTGCCATTCATGTGATATACATCCATTCCCCTGTGTTTGTATGTGCGTGAAGATCTGATTATAAAGTTGTCTGAGTTTCCATGACCAGTTGAACCATCACAAAGCCCGAAATAGATTAAGTATGTCAATCGTGCTTGGTTTCATCTGGGTGTGAGATTTTTAGGACCCACAAGCTGATGAATAGTAGTACATTAGGAAGTGCATGATTAAATTTTCTTCTCCGCAAAACAACAATTCATGACTCAAATATTTGGTGCCAGGTCACAGATGATGACTACAAAAGTTCCCCTACTGCAAAGAAGATGGTGAGAAAGCTGCTAGTTTGCTTTGTACTCTTACTTACGAGCAAGCAAGCATTTTTTGATACTCTGGATACACCATGTTACTCAAGATTAATATGAGCTAGTGATGACTTAAGAAACCTGGTTGATGAATTTTCTTCATTTTTAGTTTTGAAGGACTATACTCCATACTATATTATCCAGGGTCCTTTACTTGGGGAAGAGGGTTCAAAACTAAATTGGTTTTATGCTTCCCTGAGTGAAGTTTGACACTTATTGTGTTCCTTATCTTAACCAGAGAGAGGATGGCGATCCTTCCTCATCTTCACACTCACAGAACTCCATGATTGTTGATGCTCCATCTGGTTTGCATACTCTTGCAGATGCTGATAGAAATTTTCTTCCTTGTTTGGTGAAAGTAAGTGTTAAATCATTTTCTTATTTTAAGTTAATTCTTTTTCACTAATGTAAGACAACTTACCTTTGAATTGGATGCCTTAAGGCAATTTAAGTTAATTTACTCTGTTGTTCGATGTTCAGGTATATGATACGCCAGAGTCTGACTTAAAGCTGAATGATGTTCTTGAGTTTGTTGGGATCTTAACGTTTGATTCAGACCTGCCAGTAGATGAGTATGACAATGATGAATCCTCTGGTGGTCTAGGTGAAGAAGAGTTGGTTCGTTTGCCTCCTAGCAAGGTAATAACTCTACTATGAGCTACCCCACATTCTTGGTTTCATGTAACCTGCAGAAATCTTTTATCTTTTTGTTTCTTCAGATGTTTATTGAAATGATGAGTACTCAAAATAGCTGTATATTGCATACAGCCGTTAGTTGGCCTTTTTTTCAAATTGGAACTTCAGTCACCTATTGCTACCAATTATAATTATTATCGTGATCCTTTTCTCGCATAGGTCCCACGCCTTCATTGTCTCTTTAGCAGAAAGCTTGAACTTCATGATTTTCTCACCGGTTCCCCCAAGGAGGTAATTAATCACTGGCCTAATTTATTTTTTAATCTTGTATCTGACAATCTGAATTCCTAGGCCTTGTTTTAGCACGTTATGAACTATCTTGTAATCCTCATCCTGCAGCTGAAGCCCCATCTAATCAAAGAAATAAGGGAAGCTCTGCTCATGCATCTTACAACTATTCTTGGAAATGACAGTGTTGCTGCTCATTTTATGTTGTTGCATCTTCTCTCCAGGGTAATCAGTTTTTTCTAAATCATTATTTCGATTATTTCTTGTGTCTAAGTTGTACTCATTTTTTTCCCTCTGAGCAGATTCATGCCAGGGCAGATGGTATTGCTGTTGGGAAGCTTTCACTTAATCTTACTCATCTAAGCAAGGAGGGTATGTCTATATTTGGCACTAGACTTAGCCACTTCGTCAAGAATCTCCTGCCATTCACGCATTGCATACCCCTTACACTAGAGTATCTTAACAGTGCCTCACTTGCTCCCAAAAAGGATTATGAATTAAACAGGTAAAATTCATATTTTTGTCGATAGGAAAAATCTCTTATCTTACATCACTAATTACAAGGCAGCAACTATACAGTTCTCTCTTGTTGATACTTTTCCACTTACAGACTAATACCAGGAACACTACAGCTAGCTGAGGGCTCACATGTGATATTTGATGAAACCCAGCTGCAAGCAGGGACTCTCAACTCTGTTGGGGTTGAGAATGCTAGGTTGTTGAAAAATCTAATGGAGTATCAGAAGGTGATTATTCCTGATATTCATGCATGTGGCCTTTAATTACACATTGTCTTATTTGCACCTCCATATGAGAACATGCATATAGCACTTTTTTAAGTGGAGATGTAATTGATGATTTGCTTTTCTCAGGTCGAGTATGACTTCAAGTATTATAAAATGGAAATGACAACCAATGTCCTGTTGCTCATCTTTTCTGAGGGGAAATCAAACATCATGCCAGCTGATTTAGTTATACCTTTCCAATCTTCTAGAGCGGATTCCTTTGGGGTTCCTGGTGCAGAAGCACTGGAAGCTTGGAGATGGTACTTAACTACAGTTAGATCACTGCCGCACTCCATTGAATCAGAGATGCAGAAGGTACTGAAGTGAACCCTCTATTTAAGTCTTGTTTACTGTGCGGTCTGAGCTGTGACCATACAGAAGGTCACTAAAGTAAGGCAGGGTCTTGGACTTTCTTCAGGGAGATTATCTAGGTTAAGTAAATAAAAATCTAGAAAGGTTTTACAACTAAGTTCATGATTGATGTTATAGAAGACATGCATTTGGTAGTTACTTGATTCACCAGGCACAGACAGGTGCACTTCCTCAGTTGTCCTCGGAAAAAAGAATTAGTATCGACAAAGTCCAATGTGTCACTAGGGAGTTAATGCCCCCTAAGAGCTTCATCCCATTTCCTGCTTATTTGATTTACACTGATACTAGTCCTTCAAAGGGAACTGGTTAGAATAAGCTTGAGCTATACTCTTTGCTTGATGATGTTTTTCAGGTGGTAGAAAGTGACTTGGTTGCTGCAAGACAAGCAGATCGTAGCTTAGGCAGCCAAGATTTTAGCAGGTTAGTATTAGTAACTTAAAAAGTTGCACTGGCATTTTGTCCCATTGTGGCTGGTTTCTTTGACATCTAAAACCTTCTACAACAAATGTTACTAAGAGTCATTTTTTAAATAGAAGTCTTTGGTTTTTTTGCAAACAGATGGTTGACAATGGCACGCCTAATGTCATTGAGTTTTGGAGAAAGCAGTCTTTCGTTGGAGCATTGGCAAATGGTTATGGAATTGGACAGATTGAGAAGGGACAGACTAAAGTGAAATATGCAGGTTTTTTGTAAGCTGAAAACATAGGTCAGATTCTGGCTCCTTTGCCGTTTATGTACAAATATGGTGGTGATTTTGTAATGAAACTGTTTTAAAAAAATTCACCTTTAAACAAGAATGATTGTAAAGTACTCTGGTAGCACCCATGATTTGAAAGATTCTATAAATGTAATTAATTTGTCTTAAATTTTTGTAAAAGGAAATAAATTGTGAATTAATTACTGATTCTCTCTAGGTTTCCTCAGTTGACTTGGGGGGTTGGGGGGAGGTGTTGGAGGACAGTTTCATCTTCTATCTAAACTTTTTAAATGATGTGAAACCCTAATTTAACATTTAGGTGGGTGGTAATGTTAATAAAATCACGCAACCAGAGCAATTCAAAGTATGTGAATTTCATATTATTAGAATTCTTTTGTTGTCATAAGCCACCAAAATCTGCCTAACCACTTTGACAATCATTCTATTTGAAAGCAACACTTCCATTTCTGATAAAGAAACCCACATAAATGGAATTGAGACAAATCACAAACCAATTTGATTATCATAGTGCATGTGCTCGAACATCAAATGTTTTTTTAATAATTAATTAGGAAGGTAAACAATTGAAATAATTTGATATAATTAAGTGGTGGATAAGATTCAACATTCATGAGATTTGTATATATTATACATGTATATGTCCATTAAAAAACACTTGGAGAATAACAAACACACAAAATGTTCCATAATCGTCACCTTCAAATGAAAAAGAAGAGAAAAGGAAAAGAGATCTCCCCCTCTCCCCATCCCATGCTATCCAACCCAGAAGTGAAGAGGGTTCCACAGTCTCCACTTGCTAAAAGCATAAGTAATATGAAAGTCTCCCTCAACTTTCAAACAACATGATTTGACAACCCTTCCCTCTCCCTCACTCATTTATAATATGCATCCCCCCATGTGGTCAATTCTTTTCATTTCTTTTTAATCAATTAATTTATTCAGTTGTGGGTAGATAGAGATATATTGTCATGTATTAATATGCTCTGCAATTGTCTCTCCCATTATTTCTGATATGTTTTATACTGTTTGACATCTTTTTTTGCTTTTGTACATTCGATTTGGTTTGTTTGTTTCTTTTTTTTTCTTTTATCCTTTAATAAACTTATCATCAGTTTTAGCAAATTGCAGAGATAGTCTTCATCGAAGCATGATACCGTATGAAGAATATATAGAAGATTCAAAAATCTCATCCAAATCAAGCCTAGGTTAATTTTCCTATTCGAACTAATTACAGCATGCTACTTTACTTCCAACTAATTAATTTATATGTACTCTTCTAATTTGGTAGAAACAAACCTAAAAAGATGAATGATTAAAAAAGAAAACCCATAAAAAAGTTGGCCACTTGGCTAAAGAGTTTTAGTCTATTGAAACTGCCCGTGTGGGTCATGAGGCTCCTAACATTGGGATTTGAGAGGTCACTAGCTAGTTACATGAATTGATTGGTTCCTAGATGCTTATTAAAAATACTCTTTCCTTGCTTTTGCAACAATCAATAGATTCCTTCCTACTTTTCAAGTTTGCACGCACATTCTTCACAATGCTTTTATTTAATCTTCCTATTTGTAACTCTTGCTTATTATATTGACCCTCTCTCTCTCTCTCTCTCTCTCTCTCTCTATATATATATATATATATAACCACTGTTTGTTTTGATTACCTCTCAATTTTGTGAAGGTGCAATTACCTAATTAGGTGCAATATCATAAGAGGGAGGGGGAAATGGTGGAGAGGTTCGTAAGCTGGAGGTAAACCTCTCAAGTGATGCTTGTCAAGAAACTCATAAAAGTTGTGAAAGGTACATACACTTTCACTAACATCAAGAAGAAGGAAATTTAAAGTTTAATCAAGATAAATATCTAATTCTTGATGCTTGTCTTTTGAAACAAAACGAATTAAAAAAAAAGAAATTATCAATTGGAACCAACTTGTGTGTACTTTTCACTCTCAACTCACATCATCTTTCACTAACAAAAAGAAAAGAGGTTTATGTCCTACTCTCATACCCATTTAGCGAAGGCAAAACGAAAAGGATTCAAAGACAATTAGTGAAGCAAAAATTATATGCATATGCATATACATACACACACGTTGTGTGTATGCATATATGAACTGACATTTCATGACTTGGGGACCATTCAATGTCTCATAATGTAGACATGTGGGTCCGGTCCAATTTTAATATCCACATAAACTACATAATTTATAGTTTTGTTTGTTTGTTTCTTAATTGTGCCATCATTTGATCAAACTATTTCTACTACAAAATCTTTCATCTTCCTTTTTTTTTTTTTTTTTGTTCTAAAAGAAAAAAAAGCTACTCGGGACAAATGATTATGGAGAATAAGAAATGTTTGTCAAAGAATTTAGAGTGACCAATTAGGCAGTTTAATTTTATTTAAATGTGATTTATATTACTTGCTTTTAGGAAGTGGCAAACCACAATAATCAAGTTTTTAACAATGGGGTTTTGTGATTAGTTCTTAATCATCAACCTAATCATACACACATGAGCAGTAGTATCTGCACAGACTTGGATGGATGATTTAGGGGGGTCCAACAAAAACTTCTATAAATATATAATCATGGGTACGTGATATTTTTTTTTGGCACAAATATAACCTTTTCAATATTCTAATTATTATCTACTCCCACAATCAAATCATTTTTCCTTAGTTTGATTTGATGTATATCTTTAGTGGGAGAAGAAGAACATGCACACCCCAGACACAGTATGTGCAAAATCAAGAAGAGGCAATTGCCGTTCTTGAAGATGTATGTATTAATATTACATCATATAAATGTAATTGCTATGATCTTGAACACACAAGAAAAGGAGAAGAAATCGTGTGCTTGAGTTCGTTTGTGTGTGTATATATGTATGTATGTATATTATATTATATTATATTATATTGTATTGTGGTGGAAACATGGTGGTTGAATTTCAGAAGAAAGCAATGTCATGCTTGAAGATTTTTTGTCAAATGTAAACCATCAGTCATCCACACATGCAAAACAGCAGTCTGTGGTTTGGGAAAAATAACATGTCATGTGCTTTTTTTTTTTTTTCTGCAGCATATATATTTATTTTTCAAAAAATTTTACTTATTTTACAAACAAAAAAAAAAAAAAGTAAGAATAATTGATATTAAATAATATATTATTACCAAAAGGGTAGATTCATTTTTTTTAATTATATAATAATCATTTAAACAGTAAATTCATTGACGTAACCCTATTAAATTATATTTATTTTTGTCCACTACAAAATTATTGTATTCAAATTGAATGGGATAAGTTCATGTATCGCTAACGAATTAATTATAAAAGAAGAAGAAGAATATATATATATATATATATATATATATATAAATATAATTATTAGTGAAGACACTTAAAAGGAAATGTTTGGTGAGCATTGAATAGGAGAAAAGTACAATTGTCTGCCCAATCAACACGTATTGTTGCTCTCTGTCATACATACTCCTTATTTAACTCTTTAAATTATTGAATACAATAATTTCTCATTATTATTATTTTGAATTCTTAAGAAATTCAATTACTATAAAATATTTTGAAAAGTGGGATTTTTTTTTTTTTTTTTTTTTTGTAATTGTCAATTAAGTTTTTAAGTATGATTCTTAATTAGACTTAGTTGACCTTAATTATGTAAATAATTGGGATTAAGGAAATTTTGTATTTCCCACATGATCGGATACCCGGATGGTGGACATTATATATATATATATATATGTGTGTGTGTGTGTGTGTGTGTGTATAATATGGATATATACACGCACACCCAGATGATATGATTCAATGTTTTGAGGGTCAAAAAAAATGCATCCATGCATATATTAAATTATAAAGAGAGACATGTTTAATTTTTTCGATATAAAATATTGCAACAGTCCAAATGGATATATATATATATATTTTTTTTTTTGGGAAATTATTATTTTGGTTTAGCCTTTTTGCTACTTCTTTAATTAATTAAACAACTAACTGTATGGATACATATATATATATATATATATGTGTGTGTGTGTGTAGAGACGTGGTCACGTAAGTTGTCAGCTATTATATGGTACCATATTTTGTCATCAAATCCAAATCCAAATCCAAATCATGGTACGAAACCAAACAACAAGAAACAATTTTTCTTAGAAAAAAAAAGATTTGAGGGTATGTTTGTGTACGCATTGTAAGTGTATATATGTACATATATTTGTTTATATAGGAGTGATTGGAAGAGAAAGTCAACAAAGGCATTACTATGTGTCCATTATTTCTTTGGAATTTGGCAACTTGGTGCAACTTGCAACTACTCTACCACTCCTCTTAATTAATTCAATTTCCAATTTTTTTGGTACGAATATTTAGTTTGATTTAGTCTAAAAAACATAAAATAGATTCTCATAACGGCTACTCCTATCTACTACATTTGACAAAACCATGAACCCATATATATATATATATATATATGTGTGTGTGTGTGTGTGTGTGTGGATATGTGGGTATGTGGGTGTGACCTCAAATGTCAACTCTTTAAAGTTAAAATTAAATATTATATATATACACACACACACACACATATATAGGAACTATAAGACAAATGCATTGTATTTCCTTTTTGTCAAAAAAAACAGATGATCCATAATGATCATATCTACCTTGTCAAAATTGAAATTTAATCTAATATAATATATGATGGTCATATATTATATAAATTATAATTTAATATTATTAAAAAAATTTACACATATTTTCAGTCCGAAATTTAACTCTAATGATATTAGTTCACTAACCTTATAAAATTAAGATTCACGTAATAATCAATAATCGAGTTTATTCACGTTGTAATTCAGAACATGTACACAAACATAATTTAAAATGCAATAGCATAAAATTATACTTTGGATTATTGTATTCAAAATCATATGAGAGCTTGATTTTTTTTTTTCATAACAAGAATGTGAAATTTTCACGATTACTTCTCTTAATCTGAACATGAATATGTTTTTTTTTTTCAACCGGACTGAAAAAATTAATAATTAATTTTAAATCTTATAAAAAAAAAAAACATACCATGTATGTATGTACATGTATACATACATACAAAATAGTACAGGTATAGCTGTCTGATTTTATCACGTTGGAATATGACGAATATCTTATGGAGGTCACCAGGGTGGCAACTGGAATGTGTGTGTGTGTATATATATATGTATGTATGTATGTGTAAATGTAGTTTTATATTAATATGGGTGTTACGTGTATATGTAGGAAATTAGATGTTATAAACAAACTAGTTCCGTATACACGAAGTCACCAGCTCGCAAAAACTATCATTCTGTCCACTTAAAAAAAAAAAAATTAATTAATTAAAAAGAAAATGTAAATTTAATTTAATTATTAAATTTAAAAGAATCAAGACACCTACTTGAAACCGTGAGATACTTTCCCTTATTTAATAAGATCCTCAACCCCCCAATAGAATCTCTATCCTCTTCTCTTCTCTCTGCAACTTCACAAATCATAACTCTCCATTAATCTCCAATCCGATCACTTTCTCTCTCCACACTTCACCCTTTACATATTTCCTTCCCTCTCCCTCTCCTTCTCTCTCTCCCTCTCCCTCTCCCTCCGTCTCTGTGACTATATATACATGCACCCTATGCGCTACAAGATCCCACGCTCTCTGTAACCCTGTCTGATTACAGAAACTGTTTCTTGGAGGAGGATTACAGAGATCTTCCGGTGGTGATACTTATATATGATATAAATATTACATACCCTTGTCGTTTCTCTGCTTCTTTTCAGCTTTCTGTCCTCTGCAATGGAAGCGAACTCCGTGGTGGAGGTGAGAGAAAGGCGGCGGCCACTGAGTCGACTCAACTCCTTCATGGCGAGGAGTCGAGTTGGCAAGTGGTTTAAACTCACCGAGCGGAACTCCACGTTCACCACCGAGTTAAGAGCCGGCACGGCCACGTTTCTAACCATGGCTTACATCTTAGCCGTCAACGCTTCCATCCTCGCCGACTCGGGCGGCACCTGCTCTGTTTCTGACTGTCTTCCCCTCTGCTCCGACCCGGCCGTCCCAATCTCTGCCTGTAACGGTTCCAATCTCCGGATCATCCAACCGGACGAATCCTGCAAATTTGACCCGGTAAACCCGGGTTACGCCGCCTGTGTAGAGAGTATACGGAAAGATCTGATAGTCGCCACCGTGGCTTCTTCCCTCATTGGATGTGTAATCATGGGCGCTTTCGCGAATCTGCCATTGGCTCTGGCTCCCGGTATGGGCACCAATGCGTATTTTGCTTACACGGTTGTCGGGTTTCACGGGTCGGGTAATGTCTCGTACCAGAGCGCTCTGGCTGCAGTTTTCATCGAAGGCTGGATTTTCTTATTCATTTCCGCAATTGGGTTTCGCGCGAAACTCGCAAAATTGGTGCCGAAACCAGTACGAATAAGTTCTTCTGCAGGAATCGGGCTTTTCCTGGCATTTATCGGGTTACAAAACAACCAGGGAATCGGGTTAATCGGTTTCAGTCCGTCAACTCTGGTTACTCTCGGAGCCTGCCCGATCTCTTCCCGGGCGTCCGTAGCTCCTGTAGTGACGGGGGTTAACGGTACCGTCAGCCTGATGCCGGGCGGCTCCATCTCCGGGGATATTTTATGTGTCGGGAACAGAATGGAAAGTCCGACATTTTGGATGGGCGTCGTAGGTTTCGTGATCATCTCGTACTGTTTGGCGAAAAACATAAAAGGCGCGATGATATACGGTATAATATTTGTAACGGCGGTTTCGTGGTTCCGTGACACAAAGGTAACGACGTTTCCGAGAACAATCGCCGGTAATGCATCTCACGAGTATTTTAAAAAGGTAGCGGACGTTCACGCGATTAAAAACACTGCCGGCGCGCTGAGCTTCAAAGGGATAAACAAAGGTCATTTTTGGGAAGCACTAATCACTTTCCTCTATGTTGACATCCTCGACACCACCGGTACTTTGTACTCCATGGCCCGATTTGCTGGATTTGTGGACGAGACTGGTAATTTCGAAGGTCAATATTTTGCGTTCATATCTGATGCTACTTCAATTATTATTGGATCATTGCTCGGGACATCTCCAGTGACGACATTCATTGAATCATCAACAGGAATTCGCGAGGGCGGTCGAACAGGACTAACCGCATTAACCGTCGCTGGATATTTTTTTTTGGCATTTTTCTTTACTCCACTGTTATCGTCCATACCATCATGGGCAGTGGGACCGCCGTTGATTCTAGTAGGAGTGCTGATGATGAGATCAATGGCGGAGATCGAATGGGAAGATATGAGGGAGGCGATACCGGGATTTGTGACGATGATATTGATGCCGTTGACGTATTCGATAGCATACGGGCTGATCGGCGGAATCGGGACGTACGTAGTGCTGCACATATGGGATTGGGGGGAGGAGGTGGCGGGTAGGTTTTGTGTTGTAAAGAGGAAAGGGGATGGAGCAGTGAATGGTGATGTTAAAGCTACTGATCAGCTTGATGTTTAGTTTAGGGTGGGTCACGGTGACGTACTAACGCTTCCTTCTTCAATTTTGTTCTCATTACATATATAGTTATAATTATAATTATATATATATATATATTATAATTTTATCTCTTATTGTATTTAATTATATTTCCTTTCGGTTATAATTTAACATACACGAATATGTACATATGTAAGAGTAATTTTTTTTAATCATTATAAATGTTAGTTTTTTCATTTATTAATTTTGACCCACTCATGCACATGTCCTTACATCTTATGATTAAATTATGTAAAATGATCCCCCCTCCCCCCCAAAAAAAAAAATTGTAATAATACTAAACTCTCATTAAAAAGGACATAATTTATAATTTCTCATATTGATAGGAGATATATATATATATATATATATAAAAACAATTTGGGTATGTATCAAATGTGTGTGTATATATATATATATTAACTTGAAAATTACAGAAAAATAGAGAAATATTATAAAAGGAATATATATATGTGAGATATGTGAAAGCAATCAATAATGTTTAGTTTTAGTGAGGGTCACTTTCTTAAATGTGAACAATAAGATCTTTATATATATATATATATATATCTTTTTTGTAGGGCAGTTGAACTAAAAGTTGCCAATTGAGTAATTAAGCCAACCCCATTAAGATTATAACAAAATTACTGATTTGGTTTTTTTACACCTAATTTTTATTTTAATTTTAAACTAAATTAGTTCTTATATTTTTTAAAATTTTTTGGATTGAATCACTTTTGTTGACTCATTATTAATATCGTGTTAAGTATAGTCTCACGTATCAAATTTAATGTTATTTAATATTTTATAAATTAATATTTATATAATTAAATAATGCGTTAAATATTAAATAATATTTAAAAATTTTATATATAAATGAATGCCATGTAAAAACTAATTTTGAAGGAAAATTAATATAATAAGTACAAAATCATTAAAAAAAATTTAAAAGAAAAATGAGTTAAGTGGTGGTGTGTGATTAGGCTTTTTGTGAAAGCCAATGGTTTTAAGAGCTTTAATTTTTGCAAATGATTCTTTTTGTACATCTGTTTAATAATTAAGTAATGGCAAAAAAAATATATATATATATTCTTTATTGTCACGCAAGATAATTAAATTAACCACTTTAATTACCATTTCTAATCAATGTGGGTCACCTTCAATTACACAATTAATTTCTTTTTACCATATTATAACAAGCTTCTGAATTTTCTAATTTTTTTTTTTTTAAAAGAAAGCATGGTAATCATTATCTAATCAGGCTTTATATATAATAATGGAATGTTAAAATTTATAAGTAAATAAAAATAAGTTATCTAATATATATATATATATATATTTAGAGTTTAAATTGTATATTTTGTGGAAGAAGAGCAAATAATCTAAATTCAAAAGGATCAAGGAAGCAGAATTAAGTTGGGGGGGGAGGGAATTAAGAGAATTAACAAGTTAACACCGCACACCTGTCCTCCTGTTGTATTAGTGGGGTACTAATTAACACAATCAGGATTTGATTAACTTCATTAATTAACCTAATTAATTATTACACAAAGAACAAAAAATTCCCCAATTGTTGCGTACGAATTAGAAAGAAGATTTTAACATGTACCCGATTCATGCATCGACTACTAGAGGAGGATTCTTCCAAAGAAAACTAAATTGATCGCCTAATTTAATTAATTAATTAATTAAAATTTAATTATTCTTCCATAAAAATAAATTTGTATTGGAGGGATAGAACATATTCTTCTCCCTTCATTGCTGATCTAACAACTAACATGGTGTATATATACATTATGTGTCACCTAAAAAGCCCATTTTTGTACCTTCATTAGCATCAATCTTTTTTTAATAATCTAATCCAATGCTACTAACTAAGGTAATTTGGGATCTTTGATTAATTGACCGACGACACGTGTAAAGCTTCGACTCGACAACACTTCGACAAGTGGCACCTTGCTACATACATATGTATATATATATATATATATATACTTAAACACTTCCATCAAAACACACTTTTGATCCCTATACACAATTTTGATCTCTTTATTCTACTTGTTTATCTATCATTGATTTATCCCTTCAATGGTGGAAAATAAAGAGAAGTGACAAATATTACATGGGGGGCAAAAAAAAAAATAAAGGCTTTAAATATTTTTGAGTTATTTTATATCATATATTACATTTTATTCTAATTATATGGAAATTTTTACCTATTTTTTATATTGAAATTTATGTATAAAAAGGAATAAAAATATTTTATTCTAATAACTATCTTCCTTTGTTTTTTCTTTTTCTTTTTCCTCTACTTATTTATATTTAAATATTAAAGTGCCATAAAATTTGTAGTTCGTGTTTATCTTAAAATTATAAAAAAAAAAATATTCCTATTCTTTTTGTTTTTTCTTTTTTTAAATTAATTATTTAATTTAGAGATATACATATGTACGGATTATGACCTATCCTAATCATGTTGTATCATTTTTTATGTTAATATATTTTTTTAAAATTAAGTTATGATTATTTTATAATAATTTTAATTAATAAATATTATTTGTTCATTTTATAGAATAAATTTCAATATTAAATACGTGAATATAAGAAAAAAATATAATTTATTGTATTATTGATAATAATAATACGATAGTTATATGACCTCTACGTATAAATTAATCACTTTTAACTCAAAATCAAATTAAAAAAGATAAAATATAGTCTTTGACTCAAAAATTAAAAGGTTGGAAATATAAAAAGAGAAACAAAGACCAAAATTTACAATTGATCTTTTATTAATTATATATTTCTATAGATGAGTTTAACATTGTGGTTGAAAAAAGAGAATATATATATATATAAATAATAAAAGGGTATTATTGTCAAATAGCAGGAAAGGGCATTAAGGTCAAATTATCTACAAGCTACCAAGCCTGTGAATCCACCTGAAACCAGAAGCAGCTGGAAGCAGAATTGAGGGTAAAAAAAAAAAAAATCATGAGTGCCATTGTTAGCAGCAGCAGCAGCAGCTGCCTTTCTTCGTCATTCACATACCCATTTGAAAATGAAGGGTTAATGGCGAAAATCGATAGATCTACATGCAATCCTAGGATTACCAAGAATAGTTCTAAAGTGAATGGGATTTTCTGTAAACTATCTGATAATGGGATTGAGGAAAATCCCATAGGCAAAAATGGTGCTAATGCCAATTTCAGTGCTAAGAGCAGGATGGAAGAGTACAATATAGCCATGAAGAGAATGATGAGGAACCCATACGAGTACCATCATGAATTGGGTCAGTGCAAAGTTTCATCTTTTTAAGTTTATTTGCGAATGTAAGAAAAGATTACCTTAGGTTTATCTTTTAATTGCCAAAGAAAAAAATGAGATTTTCTACTTATCACTGTTAATTTGGGTGTTTTTTTTACATTTCATAGATTTGATTACCCAATTTTAAATACATATATTATTGGGAGGAACAATATTGTCTTAGGACCCTGTTAGCTATTATCCTTCTACTTATGTTGATGAAAAGGTTATACGTTAGAGTAGATATGGATCTATAAAGCACACCCTTTTGGCTTTAATCCTGGCTTTTGTTATATAATATTTGTGATTTAGCTTTTGAAAAACAGTGCGTGTTATTAGGTAAAGGTTGTTAATTTAACCTTTACATAAATCAAATTTCTTGTTTTTTCAATTGATTTTGCTCTTGGCATAATGCTGTAAAGTTAGATTTTTTTTTTTTTGTTCCTTTTTGTTGTATGTGCTTTAAAATCATGGAGGGGATTTTTAATTAAATCCACAAATGACAAATCAATATCGGCATTAAATAGAATAAAAAAGATGCATATTATTCAATAGTAATTGAAAACTTTATCTTTGTTGAGTACACCTTGTGTTTGTAGAACTTTTGGACATGTAAAGAGTTTATTGGATGATCGTATTCTTTCTTTTTTCCCCTGATTTTCCATAAGCCATATATGCATTGCAAAAACAGGTTCAAGATTCTAAATTCACTTCGTGAAATAGGTTCAAAGATTTAGTTCTTGGCGGTTTCTGCTTTTGCAAATGATCAAACAATTATCTGTGGGAATTCAAATAATCCAAATAGATGGTTTTTTCTTCTTGGTATCAAAGTAGTGGGCAATAGCACTTCAATACTAGCTTTGCACATTGCATTCTTCGAATGTAACTCACTTTTGTTTGATGACATGAAAGGTTCTAATCTAAACGCGGAATGTTATGGTGGCTGTTTTTGTGTAACTAGCCAGTAAAATAGATAATTTGGTCATGGTTTTGCAGAAAGAGAGGCATGTTTATTGAGTTACTTAAGTATGCTGATCCTTCACGTCCTGTTTTCAGGCATGAACTATACGTTGATAATTGATAATTTGATCGTGGGGTCGCAGCCTCAGAAACCTGAAGACATAGGTCACTTGAAACAGGAAGAGAATGTCGCTTACATTCTAAACCTGCAGCAAGACAAAGATGTCAAGTATTGGGGAATTGACTTGCAATCTATCACAAGAAGATCTCGAGAACTTGGAATCCTTCATATGAGAAGGCCTGTAAGAAATCCTTTTCCAGAGCACCAGCAGACTAGGTAGTTATGGTGCAGTTAATCAAAATTAAAAAGAAAAAGAGGTGTTGTGCAAAGCGATGCATACTACATAAATAATTTAAAAGTAAAATAGGGTTCTAAATGGTGAAAAATTCAACTAGATTCCCTATTTTTTTCTTGTCCTTTGTCAGGTGTATCTCCAGATTTCATGATGACTTTCAACTTTTTCTCTGGTTTCGGCTCTTTCTTTTGTTTAATTTATTATCTTATTTGAGCTAAGGAACAAGCAGTTTTATTCAATTGTTGGAGCTGTGTTTTGAAAGTATAGCTTTTGACACTTATCTCATGTGTTGTTAGGCAAAAGATTTTGATCCAGATTCATTGAGAATTCAGTTACCGAAAGCAGTTTCATCACTGGAGTGGGCCATTTCCGAGGGAAAAGGAAAAGTGTATGTGCATTGCACAGCTGGACTAGGAAGGGCTCCTGCTGTTGCAATTGCTTATATGTTCTGGTTTTGTGGAATGAATGTGAGTCTTGAGAATTTCTATGTTCTGTTGCAATTGCTTATATGTTTTGGTTTTGTGGAATGAATTCCTTTTGTTGCTATTCCATGCATATCTTATTTTATATTGATTCCTTGTTTAAAAAATTTAGAGCTTGATAATTGGAATTCAAGCTCCAATAGACCTCCGAAGTCATCTGAATGTTTGCTATGAACAGTTAAATACAGCATATGAGACATTGACCTCGAAGAGACCATGTGGACCTAACAAAAGAGCAATACGTGGAGCAACCTACGATCTGGCAAAGAATGATCCATGGAAAGAAGCATTTGATAGCCTTCCAGAACATGCCTTCGAGGATATTGCAGATTGGGAGAGGAACTTGATTCAAGATCGTGTGCGTTCCTTACGTGGAACTTGAGCATTTTGGTAAGGAACTTTTCTTCTCATAACTTATCCAATTAAGAAAAAGTTGTCTGAGATAACCAGGTGGCATAATCCAACATTTTGAGGGCTTTACTTCTAACATGTTGAATCAGATCTCTTTTAAAAGAATATATGTCTGAACTGGCAGATCATTCAGTGCACTTGAACAAGTATCTCTTTGCGTTGTCAGTAAAGAAGCTTAAAGATATAAAGAAAAGAAAAAGTGTTGCCAATGAATTTAGGGATGTTGACTTGAATACTATCAATTTTACAGTAACATATTCTCTTCATCGTTGTTTCTCATTCATGAAAACAGTACATGTACCGTATATTTTTCTGTGGCATCCGTTAACAGTTTATCGCACATGCTGCAGGTCTTTTAAGTTATTGGAGGTACCTAATGATATTAAGCCCATATGGAGGGAATTAAAGAAAACCAGGAGAGCAAGATTCTCATAGCCTGGCCTTAAAGTTGACGAGTTTTGAGGGGTATACACTATTGAACATTTTCTATTTATATAGGTACAGTTAGTCATTATGCTATTACAATGAATCTTTGGTTCCTAGGAGGCTCTCAACTTGGCTTCATAACTTAGGGTGCTTGTGCATCAATGAACAATAAATAACGGCAATCTTTTCTTTTTCTTTTTTCTTCGTTCGATCATTTACAATTATATGCTGTAAACGTTTGTAAGAACTTCAAACTGTAATAGAAAACTTGGCTTAGAGCAGCCAATATACTATTCTAGTTCACATGTTTTGGTTATGGGTGATGCTAGTGGCAATCAAGTTTCCCGGATATATATATCGACAGTGTTGAGACTAGGCAAACAAATACACTTAAAAAAAAAAGAAATTTGGCAAAGAAATGATTGGGTAAGGAAGAAGATAACATTGACTGTTTAAATCAGCAAGTTTGTACAGTGAATCATGTTGCCAGCCATGAAACTGCATCTTTAAAAATCTGGCAGCTCTTGTTACAAAATTACATAAAGTTTATGTAGTCCGAAAGAAATGTAGAAAAATAAGGTATATTTTTGAAAAGTTTCAAGATGTTGAGACAGTTCGGAACTTTGCCAGTTGTGTTTGGCGTTGCCCTAAGTAAAATGCTGTGACAATCCACGCTAAGCATACCTGAAACCAAGAGAGGAATATGAACATTTACTTAGACAATAATACCGGAGTTTCAGGAAACAAGTCCTTTTTTATTCAAAAGCATGTGTGTGTGTGTTCTCATGTATATATGTATCTACATCATAAAAGCTAAATCACAGAAAACTTATTTTTGCACATACTGGTAGGGCATATAGAGAGACAGTTGATATATTTCCATGGAGAGTGCTGAAAAGCAATTTAAACAATCCTGCTGCTGCGGCATCTCCTAGTCGCTGGATAATTACATCTATGCATACCTGCAGACAGATGAGTTAAGAGCACCCATGATGTTAAGGCCATTTCACTGGTTTAACAACACCCTCAATGTCTGACAAATTCAACTCCCAAATGAAAATTGAATTACAGAAGATGAGATAAGAACTAGTCATGAATATGCCTTAAGAGTGCCAATGGCTTTATGATGGCTAATATCTAATTAGAAGGGCTGTGAAATACAAATTGCAGCAGTGGTGAAGCTTAGTTTGTGTCAGAAACACACTTTAGCTCTGTATTTCTCCTCTTGTGAAACAACAGTAAACAGGAGTTCTCTTCCTGGCCTGGTTACAACATAAGTCACCACCTGCAGAATAATATAATATCAAGCTCCGGGACTTTTTCCACATTACCAAACAACACTACAATGTAATGTTAATGACTTCCAATGGATGGATTAGTGGCAGTATAATATCTACGCATGTTGAATAGAACTCAATTTTTTCTTTGGAACTTTTCCAAACAAGTAGAGGTTGACAGTAAAGCAACAGCTGAATGGGTAATTAGATAGAAGGAAAATGATATGCAAACCTTTCTTAGGGTTTCACAAACAGCAACCACTAAAAAGGTTGGCCATACAGCAACTGCAATCAAATTTGAGAAGGCAACTATTGGAGCTGAGCATATTGCAACACAAACACCAGCAACAGTAAGGATGCGACCCTGTAATAAGTGAAAATAAAAGAAACAAGTCAAAGGATAATCTTAGCTATCAGCAAGTTCTTGTAGATTATGTGCCAAGTCATATATTATAACACGATATCATTGCCAAGAAGATACAAAAATGTCAAGAAATCAGAAGGAAATGGCCAATGGAAGGAGGCATATTACTTCATATCCCAGGAGAATAGAATATCATGAACCTATCCAAGATTCCCAAACAGTAGATGGCTCTGTATTTATGATTTTCTTGTGATAACCAGATATAACAGCCAAAAAAAAATCACTATGCTAACATATCTTACAAAGGCTGTACCGTTAGTGTAAGTTGTCCAGCAAGGATAAAAACAGCAATAAAGCTATTGATCTGGGCAAACAATCTTCTTCGGCCAATAGAGCTTGCGACAATCCCAGCAATTACATTCACTTTCTGCAAACAATCCTTTCATCAAAAGTATGCACCATAGGTAAATGACTACTTTTCTTCTTAATATTAAGTAATCATAGTTCAGGGAGACCATTTGTTGTTTAAGCACTCTCCTCTCATATTAATCTATTTTTTGTCCTGAAGACTAAGAACTATTTTGTTAACCAACTACACAGTAAGCACTGATGTATGATTTTACTCAAAAATGATATTTTCTCCGAATTTCATCGATAACCATATAATTTAGTTTTAGACACTGATCAAGACACTAAAGATATACATATCAGAACAAAGGCATGTTTATGTTTTACCTGAAAATAGAAGAATGAAGAGATAACTGCACTAAGCCAAAGGAATAAAGACACATGTAACAGATAAGTTGATGACAGTATAAGCCTCAGTCCATCTAAGATGGCCCAAAACTGAGGCTGTGCGCTGGAGGTAGATGTTTCTGGAGAAGAAATTTTGCTAGTAGCAGCTGTATTCTCATCATTCTTACTTTGATTAGGATCAGTTTTCCTAACAATAAAAGCAAGAAAAACTAATTAGAGGGATCTGATTCTCAGAGGTTCCGATAGGTCTGTCCTACATGCAAACTGAAGAACATTTTATATCCTAAAAGAACACTTCAAAGTCCTCCGAAGCCACTACGCAGAAGGCATATAATAAGTAGCAGAATATATAGAAAAGCTAAAACTTTTAGCTACTAACAAATTTCATTCTCTGCCAAGTCTACGCCCAATGCTGGTCCAATCACACTATATGGCTGATCAGTACTTGTTTTGACTTGCACATTCTCAAAGATTTCACGACCCCTCCTTCAGCCCATACCCCAAAGAAAACGAGTAAAAAGAATATTCAAATCCAAAAACTTCCCTATGTACAGATTGCATATGTAAAAACTGAAGCTAACCTTA